CCAAACAGGCTCTTATATCATCTATGTGACCATGAACATGGTCAATGAGCTAGTAGTAGTGTAATGCCTCCAATTGTGTCCAGTTATCAAAACAAAAACTACGTCGAGAAATCATGGGTTCCTACCAAATCTCTTGGTCCATGAGATCTTTCGCATGTAGCTTGAGTTTTCATACCTGAGAATCCCCTTTCCGTTCTAGTACTTTTGGGCTATATCTTAACAATGTACTAGTGTCCAAAAATTTCACCATAATTTAACAAAGAGTACCTTAGAAACATCAAATATAGATCTAAAATAAAGCCCTCCTTTCATCTTTGGTAAACATATGTCATCTAAATCAATTCAGTGTTTAACCTTTTCACTCTCCTTGAAATTCCTTGGCAATTTAAAAAAAAACCTATGAATATAATAAATAACACTATTTTGGGACAAATAACTGATAACAAGTATATAAGAATACTTTGTAATACATGATTATTAACACTATTTTACCTCTAAAAAAATATTTTTCCCTTCCAAACCTGCAATTTGCATTGAATCTTCTTAATCAATTCTGAAAAGTGGACCTTATTCTTTTTAGCATTTCCAATAGGATATTTAAGGTTAAAAAAAAAGTATCCTTTAGTAAACCCTGTAGTATCTCGACCACTTGAATGATAGCTTGTGCAAGCTTGTTGAACATGTAAAATAAATCTTCCTTTTATTAATAAGTTAGCATGACTAAGCTTCATACAGTTGAAGAGTTACCATTATTAATTGCAGAGACCTCTTGTCTGCAGATGTAAATATGATGGTGTTATCTACATAAAAAAGATGATTTAATTGATCACTCCATTTAAATAATTCAAAACTCTTAAATTCATAGTAGTAAAAAAATGATTAAAAGTTTTTGTTAACATTTATGCTGTTAAGATAAAAGTGCAGGAGATAAGGGATCCCTCCAATTTACCCCTCTAATAGAATGAAAACGGAAAATGACCTAAAATATCTTTGAAGTATTGAAAATGATACACAATTACCCTTCATCCACCTATTGACTCTAAAATACCCTTGACATCCACCTTTGGATTCAAAATTGACCACTTATTTAACGGTTTCATATCTTAACTATTTAATTTTTTTAAAATAGTTGGCGCTCGACGATTAGATATAATTTAATTTATTAATATCATTTATAAATCAATTTACTACCGACCCATTATTAATTAAATTCCATCCAATTAATAAACAAATTATAATATCAGAATGGCCCTAAACACTACTAAAACACGATGAAATTACAGATTCCTAAAAATGACATCCAAAATTATTTAGTTTGAATTAAAGCCCCAATTAAATTTAGGTTGAGTCGATTATTTAGGACACTTTCAATAGGATTCTCTTTCAAGCTTGAATTCGAATTTTATGATTAAAGGTAAAGAAGTAGTACACCCCGAATTAATTTGTTCACTTTTTAAATATAATTTTATAAAAAATTATTATTTGTTTTAAATACTTTAATATATTCTTTTTAAAAAAAGTTATCTGTTAAGTAACATCACATAATCGAGAGGAATAAATAACTTAGATGAACATAGTCATACTTTTAAGTTTATCGACAATTTTATTTTAGACACTTGAATTATAATATGTTTTGAATGAGAACCTTAATATATGATAATGTACTTCTATAGATATTTCCGTCTCAAAGTTTTAGAAACACGCAATAGTTTTCTGTTGTTGCATTAGTAATGGGGTGGATTTATTAATTGGGCGTGATTTAATTAGTAATGGGTGGTAGATTGATTCATAAATTATATTAATAAATTAAATTATAACAATAGTTGAGAGTCATGTATTAGAAAAATTATTTAAATGGTTGAAATATATAATCGTTAAATAAGTGGTTAGTTTTGAACCAAAAGGTGGATAAGAAGGGGTATTTTGAAACCAATAGGTGGATGAAAATGGTATTTTGAAGCCAATAGGTGAATGAATGGTAATTTTGTACCACTTTTGATACTTCAAGGGTAGTTTAGGCTCTTTTCCGGAATGAAAATATCCATGAATCTGACCATTAACAAGGACAAAGTATCAACTACTGCCTACCAACCTCTAAACCATATCCAACATCTAGGTTTTAAAGTCCACTTTCTCTAAGACTTCAATCAGAAACTTTCAATCCACCCATTCATAAGTTTTAATCATATCCAATTTGATGATCAAATTAGCAGGCTTCTTAAAGATCTCTAAGTTTATTTCTTGTGTCAATAACATATTTTTTGAGATATTTCTTCCTTTCACGAGTTCTGACTATTAGGAGAAATTAGATTTGGCAAGATCCCCTTCAACTTATTACAAAGAAGTCTAGAAATAATCATATTAATTATTCAAACTGATTGGCCTAAGATCTGAAAAAAAATTAAATGCTATCTTTTTCATGTAATAGGACCAGGTTAATATGAGTGATAGACTTAAATTAACAATGACCCTGAAAAAAAAAACATGAAGCACCTTCACAATATCTTCCCTAGATATATCCCAACATGTTTGATAAAAGTGACATGCAAACCCATCTGGACCATAAGCAC